ACTACTGAAAGCTACATTATAGGCTATTTCTCAGGAATGAGGTCAAAACTGTGCTGTTATTGTAAATAAACTAATGAGCTCAGTGGCGTAACGAGCCAACACTGGGCCCTTATGCAGGATTATCAAGGCGGGCCCCCCTACTACAGCACGTGATGACACAATGTCCATTTGCAATGTCCATACGCATGTTCACTTACCATATCCGGGATTCTAATTGGGACCCGGGAATTCCCCAGTCCTAATTCGAAACAAATTACACCAAAATCCATCATTCTTCGTTTCAAACATGTTTTTAATGATCAGTAAAATATGTTGTTGTCATTATTTATTCAAATAAATTTGCGATAAAGTAAAATGCGATCCGACTAAAAGTAGTAAAATGCGATAGGGGGCCCCGGCTGTCAATCAATTTCTTCCAGTCACGCGGGCCCCTGATAGGTCCGGGCCCGATAGTTACGCCTGGGAACGAGCTTCACTATTAGATTCAGACGCACACAAGTAAAATTCTCATTAATTCCTTCTAATTCATTCAAATAAATTAAACCTTACCACGCAACTAAAATAAACGAAAATTACCACTATTTTACGGTCTATATCCATTCAGTCAGACCTTGCGCTGATTAACTTATCCATGCTGGCAAATAATCATGGCCACCCGACATGAATTATAATTTTAGTACGACCATTCAATCATGCCACAGATAGTAAAGCGATCACCAATAGAATCATTTAGATATCGGATACCAGTAGTGTCTATAAGTAAATTTAACCAGGTGGGACCGTCCCGGAAGATCAGATCTGTGCATTGAGACTTGCAGTGTAAATCCAGCCTAACTCTCAGCTCTAACCAGTGTAGTTTATTTATTCTCAAAGACGTCTGGTCTGGCTCTATTGAGCAAACAATGTATAAGGGAGACCGATAGTGTGGGCGTGGATGAAATGGAGTAACAGACAAGAAGGGAGGGATAGAAAGTAAAAACAAAGATAGGGAGACAGAGGGAGAAATATATAGTGAAACAGACAGGGAGGGAAAGAAACAGGCCTTTTGTTTGTAACGTTAATGAACAGATGACTTGTTTTCTTTTTTTTTTTTTAGATTGATTGGCTGTTTACAGTAGGCCTATACTGATAATTAAATTAGTCATTAGAATGAATGAGCAGTAAATGTAAATATTGCACATTTGTACTACAATTTTTACTCAGAAATTGCTAGTAAATATCACAAATAATTACAAAGAAATGGAAAGCAACAACGTGAAATTCTTAAGTAGAAAGACTGACAGTATTTTTGTAAAATGTACTCTAATAATATTGGTTTTATTTACAAATTCGATTTTTTTTTACAGTGGTGTTGACACCTGTGGTACAACATGTCTTGGTTGACTGCTGTGTACAAATTTGACATTGTGTATTATAACAATGCAAGGCTAATAAATGGGAAGATGCAGCAAAAGAAGACAAAATGCTGCCAGTGAGCCATAAGGGTACACCATGAACTGTTAGCAGTGGATGTTTTATAAAATTATATTTTTCTAACCTAATTTGCACAGGGCTTCATACAGTGATGAACATTATCATCAGAGGGAGGATAGATTGTTAGCTGACAAACTGCTAGTTTGCTGATGAGTTGCTTCAACTTGCTTGCAAAATGAAAACAGCTGAAGATGGCAGTAATAATGTATTGTAGGCTACAATAGTTCAATATAGCTTAAAGGGTTAGTTCACCCCAAAATGAAAATTCTGTCAGTAATTTCTCACCCTCATGTTGTCCCAACCCCGTAAGACTTTCGTTCATCTTCGGAACACAAATTAAGATAGTTTTGATTAAATCTGAGAGCTGGATCACTCCTCCACAGGCTTCTAAGGGATTGAAACTTGCCGGCCCAGAAAAGTTAAAGACATCGTTAAAAACTTGCAGAAATTAAAAATGAATAATTAAATGAATAAATAAACAAATAAATATGCAAATAAATGTAAAAAAAAACTTAAATAAATGTCTATTTATACTTTTATTTCCTTATTTATGTATAATTATATTTTTTTCCACATTTATTTATTTATGCATTTATTTATTTATTTCCACTTTTATTTATTTTCACCTTTATTTATGTATAGATCTATTTATGTCTACATTTATTTTCTAATGTAAATGCTCTCTATGCTAATGAGGGGGGCGTGTTTTACCTCAGACATAGCAATCGAGCTCAGAGTGGCAGTGCTGAAGCTTTGAGGCCACAGTGACACCTTGTGGTGTGACCAAACAATACGCAAGAGGTTTGTGGACGTGATTTTTCAGGTCACGCAGGAAATAAATGACTTAGAGAAGGGCAATATGGCCAAAACCTTATATCACTGTTTATGTCCTTTAATATCACCCTAACTGTATGTAGCTATATAGGTTTACCATAGCCTACATAGGCCTACTCTTTATTCCGGACATGGCCGCAAAACATCAGCAGGTCGGGATTTCTAAAATGTCTGGGCACACATGAACAGAATCCGCTGATAACAGCATAGACAGTATAAGAAGTGGACAGAGCCATCTCATTGGAACTCAGTTGAGACAGTTGAAGCCCATTTTTAGCGATTTTTGAGCACTTCCGTTCCTGACGCGCAGACTCAAACCGACTCAAACTAAGCTTGATGACGTGAGCAACCTGTCTGACAGACGTTAATCTTCTAGTAGCTGTGCGTGAAAATTGCCAACGTTAATCTTGCAGAGACGGGGAACTTGAGCAAAGAGTTCTTTGGCGTGAGTGAGCAGGAGTAAGTATTCCGTTGCTTTTATGGACTCATTATCTATGGGCTTCTCCCTTGACGGGACGTCCCCCCGATCGCCTGCGAGCTTCTCCTCCTGTCTGTATGGTAATTTCTGTACAGCGCGACAGAGAGTCGAGTGGTTATGACGCAATCGTTAGCCTATTTTTACAAAATCTGTTTCTACGGGGCCATAATGTAACATAGAAGGTAATGGAGCCCTTTATACATTGTCGTGTTTCTTTAGAAATAAATAATGGACAAATGGAGTCTTTAAACGCCTCAGATGTAAAGCTATTCGCTGTCAAAGTGATGCCAAAATGAATGGGAGTCAATGGAAATGCTAACACAAGTGAAGTTCTGCTTCAACATGGCGGCACCCGGCCGGCTTCAACTTCCGGTCGATGGATTACCCCCTTGGATAACAGACACTTTGACACGAAAGCGCGTCAAATTATCCACTATTAACCACATGTTATGCCATGCATTGTAGATCCGTACACAGAAGCTAACTGCATTTTTTAATGTATCTTCCAAAAATATGTTGAAAGCAACAAACTTTTGTTTTGTTCTTAATTAAATAAGTGTTTTTGAACTAATCACGGGTGCGTGTCCGTACAACGATGTAACTCGCTGCTTAACTACCATGGTGAAGAAATCAACCACGACTGTTTTCCAAAACCATAGGCTATTGTCGCAAATTTGTCATTTAACCACGTTGGTTAATGATGTGATGAACTTGGAGTAACTTCTTTTAATAAATCTAGACTTTTTGCTGCAAATTACGGACATGGCATCTGAGGACTAATTCTAATTTTTCTCAGTTATTTTGCTTTATTTCTAGATTCAGAGACAGGGCGCATTTAGGCCACGCTCACACCGGAAGGTGGACTCCAACCGTCTCCATCATAGACATCTATGGTCTCCATACGCTGATTTCACGCATGATTTCACGCAGCCGTTATTTTGAAATCGAAAGCGAGGCTCCGGTGGGAAGTAAACCGGAAGTGCCGCCTTTAATCATAGGAGAGTCGCGAATGCGTTGGCGTATTGTTGTGTTTAATGTAGAAATTAGTTATTCTAAAAATGTACATACATTTCTTTCATACTTTAGACTATATACAGTGAAATTCATTTATAATTTTTTTTTTTTAAATATATAATTCAGAAAGTTAAAAAAAGAAGCAGGAACAAACTAAATACACATCCTATATTGGATATTAACATCCAAAAGTGTAAATCGCGTCAGCAGCTTCAGGTTGGTAGTCCAAGGCATTGTTGTCTATCTGTACTTCCGGGGTTCTTCCCACCAGAGCCTCGGCAAAGAACGTATATTGAAAGGTAAAATTAATAATTTTATGGAAAACTAATTTTTAGTTTTGTTGATGTTGTACACTTAATGTATGTATTATATGTATGAAAGACAGTGTTAGCTATCATGAATCAGTAACACTTTACAGTAAGGTTTCATTAGTTAAATTAGTTAGCATTAGCTAATAATGAACTGCACTTCTACAGCATTTATTAATCTTAGTTAATATTAATTTCAGCATTTACTAAAACATTAAAATCAAAAGTTGTATTTGTTATCATTAGTTAATGCACTGACTGTGACATAACATGAATAAACAATTAACAGTATTATTAACTAAGATAGTACAGTAACAAATGTGTTGCTCATGGTTGGTTCATGCTAGTTCATACATGAGTAATGAACAAATGAACCTTATTGTAAAGCGTTATTATGAAATCAAAGATATAAGTTCCTTACAATTTAGAGTTGGACATTGACTTAAGATTTTATTTAACTAGATGTATTTCCCCTTGCACTTTTATTCCTTGGATAAAAACGAAAAACATTGTCACTCAGAATGCGTCTGAAATCGAGTTATACTTTTATTATAGTTAAGAATAACTCGCTTGCTGCCGCAACTTTTCGTTTGAAGACTCGCGCGAACTGCTGCGTAGTGCGTAGCTACCAGAACCGTTAAATGCGTATGAGGCGCTGCAAAGGAAACTCCGCCTACCACTTCTCCGCCAATTTTTTTTTAATATAATATTTGTTTGTATTATTATTGTTAGTGGCAAGGGTGTGTAAGTGTATTGCTATTTATTATAATATTTATAATAATAATTATTATTATTTACAATGATCAGAAAAGGGCACAATACATTTTGAGACAAAAGGGGCAGGGGCTTGAGCCTTTGGTTTGTAAAAATTTAAAATCTATTTTTCTTCACAGTAATGTAAGCCCTAATCCTTCATCTAAGATCCCTCAAAAAGTCTCAGATACACAGTCTTGCAAGGGATGCAAGTAAGTATACAAACCTGCTTATTACACATTACAGCACATAACATCTTTTTACATGGCAAACACTAAAAGTAAACACCTTCAGATGAGATCTTTCATGTTTTATCATTTTTATTTTCATATTTTATAATTTCATATTTATTGACTATTCATGTTTACATGTTACATACTTAAATTAAACCAGATCATATATTTTAAGATGTTTGTATGTGTATTTAATTTTCAGAGAGAATGTATTCATTTCCAAAGCACTGGGGAAATACTCTAACAGATGGAAAAAACATGAGGCAAACTTTAAAAGATTCAGGTAAAACATAGCCCAGAGCAGACCATGAGCTGTTCTCATAAAGGTTCAACTTAGACATCTGTGGCAAAGCTTTGTTATTGGATGAAAGTAAAAGTACTGTTCTGTTGATTATGGATCATATATAAACCAGTTTTTAAATAGACAAATACACTACAAAAAATACCTACTTAGTTCACTTAAAAATTAACTAGTATTAACAAAGGATCTATTCCTTTAAGGATAGATTTGATGTCTTACATCAGACTCAGTGTCTTTTTCCTTCCAGGTCATTGCTGAGTGGCAAATGCCATGCTGTGTCAAAGGCTGTTGTCACACAGAATAACACCCCACTTGGGTCAAATATTATCTATGATGGAGAGAGGAGAAAGCCAATACAGGTGACACAAGCCCTGTTCAACATCCTGGCTAAGGTAGTGTATAAGCATTCAAACATTGGGCGAATTACAGTTTCTCTGATGATTTTGCAGTTACATTGTGTGTGGGTCTGTTTGTAGGAGCAGCCCTTTGGAAATGCTACATGGGAGTCATGTGCCGTGGTGGGGAATGGTGGTATTTTGACCAATAGCAGCTGTGGAAAAGAAATTAATTCTGCCCAGTTTGTCATTAGGTCTGTATCAGATCAAATCATGTGACCTATTGCCTAGATTAATATCAAAATTATCAGAATCTCAATCCACATTAGCATCAGTCTGTAATGTTAGTGGAACAATAATTAAGCTATCTATGCTTTTTAAGCTCCTAAATGTAGCCTTAACACTGTATTTGATGTAGGCCAAAACTTTTATTTCCTATCAGAACAATGGCCTAATTAACCTCTGTCCACCCCTGCATTTTAGATGCAACCTTCCACCACTGGATAACAGATATGAGAAAGATGTAGGCAACAAAACCAACCTGGTGACTGCAAATCCCAGCATCCTCCATGAGAAGTGAGTCTGTGTGTAATAAATGTCCATTGAAGGCAAGTTGGAAACCCACGTGCAGCTTTATTCCAAATTAACCGACCGATCGGTTTATGACATCAAAGAACCGCGAGAGCGATTCAAAAGCATGAGGAGCCGTCTACTTTCTATTAGTGATGGCAATTTCAAAACATTGCTTCATGAAGCTTCGAAGCCTTTACGAATCTTTTGTTCCGAATCAGTGGTTCGGAGCGTGTATCAAACTGCCAGAGACACATGATTTCAGTAAATGAGGCTTCATTACGTCATAACTGTTGCGAAACACTTCGAAATTGAAATGGTTTACCTCTGTCAACCCATGAATCATGAGGAGTCACTGAGAACCAATGAACAAGTGTCTGTGGGTTTTACCTGATCTCTGATCAGTTTTATACATTTGTAGACGTTTTAATTAGACATTAGTATAATTAAAATGAATAATGGTAGTTAAAGGAGAACTCCGGCGCAAAATGAACCTTTGGTCTAATAAAACATTGGTACCTAGTCAACCGTTCTCTGAGATTTGTTTTCATGATAATCGAATGTGAAGAGTTTTATCTCTAAAAACTGTTTAGCGTATAACGCTAGTAATGGGGGCATGTAATAAGTAAAAAGAAATCGCTAGTTTATACCACTAACAAGGCTCAAAATAGCCCCCCCCACCTGAACACAGTAACATAATGAGGGTCCCTACATGCAAAACGAAGCATTGAGAACTTTGTAAGTGTTCTCCTTTAAGAGTCTTATTGGCCTGTTTAGCTGAGCCATTCATAGAACAAACAAAACAAACCCTGACAAGTGATAAAATAACATATATACACTTTATTATCTGACTGACATACATTTCACAGCAATATATATGACCACTGTTTAGAGCAGAGAAGAAGAATTGATCTCCGATTTGCCGTGTTAAGCAAAGCTAGCGTGCATAACTAGTTATTGTTTAAGAAAAGGGTATCAGATCGGTACATGGGTAGAAGTACTCGCCGATACCGATGCCAGAATTTTTATTGGTATCGGCGGCATTTCCGATACTAGTATCGGAATCGGAACAACTCTACCTCGATCTGCCCACCCCTACTCTCTATTCGCTCTCGCGGTATTTTGATGTCATTCACCGATCGGTCTGTGCAGTGCCGGTTCAGGTCTAACAAGCCTAAGGACTAATGACTGTAACAAATCAGCTCTATGAAATATTAATAATCAATAATAAGAAAAATGTTAATGTTTCCTTTGAGTGTCAAACATTGAAGTTGCAATCGTTTTCTTCTCCTTTGGATGAAGATATGATGAACTTGCATGGGTAGTTCGACTCTGTTCTGGATGAAGGTTTTCTCTCTCCATGAGCACATGGCTGGTTGTGAGTTAAGGTGGTGGCGGGTTGACTAGCTTTCGTGAGGCACACTCGCAAGGTCTCTCGCTCTCTCCCTCTCTGCCGTGCTCGCGCTATGTATATTATGCGCGCAGTATGTTCTGTCTCGAATGCGCGCTCTAGATTCCGGAAGATTTGAACTAATTTGCGGGCATCAGGGAGACGATATAGACTTGGGATGTCTGCAATGGCCATAGACAATTTGAGGAAGTGGTGGGGGAAGTGGCGTATGCCGTAAAGCAGTCGAGTTTTGTAGTTCTTTTTGTGCTCGGGTTACTACCCGAAAGCCGAAGTTACATAGTGCGAGTAAAAGCGATACAGACCACGTCAGGCTATGGCAGACGTGTCATTTAACCTACTAGTGCAAAATGCACGTGCAAAATAATTTTTTTGTGTGTGTTTTTAGCAATTGTTGGTTTGGTGTGTTTGAGTGCTCATTGTTACAATTACACAGCAAAAGTTCAGTGACATTTTTATTTGTGCATGGTAGAAAGCATACTACTGACATAATGATGCATTGGAGGATATATTTAGAGTGGATACAGATACATGCCCGTGAAAGATAGTGATAATGTTAAGCATGACACAGTAATATATTTACATGGCCGTGAAAGATAGCGATAATGTTAAGCGCACCGGAATTAAATAATATATTAAGCAGAAAAATGAAAGTTTGAAGAATACAGATCCTATTTATTTTGCATTCGCATGAAGCTGCAGCTTAAAAATGCATGAATTACACTTACGAATAAGAGTTAAATGCTGCAAATATTTTTTTCTTACACTTGAAGGGCGATTTACACCTTTACAAATCTTCTCTTGCACATGCAAATTTAATTTACGCTTGCAATCTTATGTACGCTTTCACAAATCTTACCCTGTGCATGCGATTCTTTATGTCATAATTTTACCTTCATAGATTTGCTGTCACACGATCGGTAAGAGGATTACTATACTCGTTAAGCTCGTTAAAGCCTGCTATATACTGTTGAATAGGCAGGGCAACTATTTACCATAGCATATTAAACATCACATAGTTAACATATACATGCTAACTTCAGCGCGCATGACAGATAACGTTAATAGCATTTACTACAAATGATGGCCGTGAAAGAGACTGCGAACGCATTAAATATAATATTAAGAAGTAAACAGCGTAGCTGACTGACAGATTAACAAATGAATAAGCGCGACGATTCAGGGAGCAAATCTGCTTTCTTCGTCCCTGGTCCTGCGCTGTGCTCACTCAGTGTGCAGTGTGAGAGGGGGAGTGGCCAGCGGCTAGAGCGGTAAAAACATATATATATAGCGATATCTTTTGCATTTCTAATCCAAACAACGTCAAACTCGGCACTGCACTTACTCGTGCCCGTAGCAAGACACCTGTCAAGTTTGAGATCCATCGGACTAACGGTTCGAGAGATATGCGATTAACAGACAGACAGACACACACACACAGACACACACACACACACACAGACAGACAGACGTTCCTGTAATTTATAGATAGATTGTAAGTCGATGTACCATCACAAGGGTCTTGGAAATATATTATGAAGGTTGAAAAGTTCCATAGTGTTGCTTTAACCATAACAAATAATTGTGTCTGATTGGTCTCAGTTGTTACATGACTAACAAGAAACACCTGTGAACAATCAAGACAATAAACCAATTACAAAACAGGGCTGCGTTTAGCCCCGACAAAACGTTGCACAACGTATTTTAAACAAACGGTGATGCGTTGAACACACTGTTCTGATGACGCAAGAGTTGCAACTACGGCAGCTGAGAAGGCCATTCTTTGTGTTCTTTGTGAAGAATTTTCGGAGCCTGATGAAGTCGGTATAAATATGTGTTTAATACTAAAATATGCCCGATGTTACAGTTACTGCACTTGCCGCCCAGAACACAAGAGAACATCCCAATCGAGTGAAGGTATTTGCTGAAACTGAAATAGAAGCACACATCTTACCTAATTCAGACTAAAACACATCTATTTAGCCTCACATACTGACTTTATTTGTAGTTCATACTGTTTTAATACCCTGTATTTTCTTTCTCATTTTTAGGAAATGCACTTAATTACCATTGTTTATTTCTATACCAAATGTCATACACTTGCAATGAAGCTAAACATATAAACAACTTCATCAGTATGTTGATATCCTATATTTTTACAATATTACTTACGACAAACATGTCTTCTAATATCCTCAGTTGTTGCGTATACCGAGCTGCATCGAACACATTTGTAAATTACTTTCCTTGAACACATTGTGCGAGTTCACTTTAATACCGTGCTTGATATACATGTTGCTGCTGATTGGACTGCAGTTCTGACACACCCACCAAACAAGAGAAAACAACTGGAACACACATGCAGGAGCAACAACCGACAAACAACAACTGAAGCACAGAGGTTTAAATAGACTGGTTAAAAAGGGGCTGATGAGGGACAGGTTTCAGGGATTAGTCATGGGAACTAATGAGGGTAACTATGGTGACAAACATGGCAGGCAAGACAACAAGACAAACAGGAACCAAACACAGGAAGGGAGCAAGGAAACAATGGGAACTGAGTATACACTTCAACATAAAAGTCCTTACAAAAACACAAGACAAAACCAGGATCATGACCTCTGGGATTGTTTGTTTAGTGTGGTTGTGATACAGTTAAGGCCAATTATCAGATTGCATTTATGCTGCCTCCAGAAAGACTGAGAAAGTAATTCAAAATCTCTGTAAAAACACATTTTGCAAGAATAATTCAAAATGTATTTAGGCCTTTATAAGTTGTCAATGGAATTGCATTTCTTTTTTTCCACAAATATTTATTCCTGAAAAGTACTAAAAGTATTGCTAATGGGAGTGGTATTATTGAGTGGGATATTTAAGTGAAGCACACTCAGGCTTTTCTTTATCCTCATCTGTTACAGGTATAATGGTCTGATGGAGCGCCGTCGTCCATTTGTTAAAAGCCTTCATCCTTATGGACAAGCCTTAATGCTGCTGCCAGCGTTCTCTTACGGTCACAACACGGCTGTATCCCTGCGTGCCTTTTACACACTGGAGGACTTCGGCAGCAATGGCCCGCTGCCTGTTTTCCTGAATCCAGAATATTTGAGAAGTTTGTCAAAGTTTTGGCGTGAGCGAGGCCTTAACTCGGTTCGTCCCAGCACAGGACTAATCATGGCCAGCTTAGCACCAGAAATCTGTGCTAACGTCCATTTGTACGGTTTTTGGCCTTTCAGTAAACATCCAGATGACAGTCGACGGATCACCAACCATTACTATGATGATCGGCAGAGCAAGAAGAATGTGCATTCCATGCCGGCCGAGTTCGAACATTTATTGAAACTCCACAAGCAAGGTGTGGTTCGCATACACCTGGGGGATTGTCAACCCACACACAGGTAAAACACGAGACTGGCTGCAAACTAGGCCTTTCCTGTAATGTTAATTGGTGTATGTACTGTACATTGGTGTATGTACTGTAAACCCCTACAGAATACTTCTCCATTTGATTAAGAACTACAACAGGCCACCTGGATGAGTGTCTGGAAAGACACAGCTGTGAATGTAATTGTGCACTGAATCTATATTGCTTATAATGCTGTGTGCACACTTGCTCAAAGAAGAAGCCATGACCATGCACAACAAATTAATCTTTTTTAAGTTAATTTGAGATAATGTTGCACACAAAAATGGCTGAAAACGAATGTACTGATTAGCCTTGGTATACTGTGAAAGAATTGAATTAGGAAAATGACTCCTAGAGCTAGGGTTGCCAACTTCCGAAAAGAAAAATGCGGGACATATTACTATATTTATTATTTTGCCGATTTCGGGTTTGTTGACGGGGGGGGGGGGGGGGGTGTTGGGGAGGATCTCGCAGGCAAGGTCTCTCTCCGCGCTACATACAGTAGGCTATGTTCTGTCTCGCATGCGCAGCTCTAGATTCTAGGAGATTTGAACTAATTTACGTGTGTCGTGTTGCTGTTGTATCAGTCACATCAGCGCAGCACTCAATTATCGGGACAAGAGAGGTCCAAAAAAATTAGGGCCAAAAATCGGGACGTCCCGGCTAAATCGGGACAGTTGGCAACCCTACCTAGAGCAGCACCCCTAAACACTCCTTAAGTGGTCTTGCCTTAGTCAGCCTTTAATGTGCTCTCTATCGGTGCTTCTCCAGCTCTGTTGCATTCATCACAAGTGCCAGTCTTTCCTCTTAAGCATTTATTAGCAGTGCATGTGAATTTGATCTCAGGTGTGGAGAAATAGCTGTAATAGCAGCACTGTATTTAACTCTAGACTTTGATTCCAGGACTAAGATCTCAGCTAAGAGATTGCAGAAATGTCTGGTTGTTTGGAAGCATGGTGTCACTATCACAGTGTGAAACAATAAGAAGCATGGATGTGGTTAGTGTAACTCAGAGTAAGAAACTAGAGTTGTAAAAGGTGAAAATAGGGGCAAATTTTCAATGTGCCAATTCTAAATGCCCTATCTGAGTATGACATTACTCTTGCAGCAATCACTGAAATGTAAATAAATAAATAAATAATTAATTAAAAATGTCAATTTCAGTTCAAATGCAAATTCTTGGGTCAGTTTATGCTTAGACATAAGATTTCTCTGTTTCTATGAATTATTGAATCAACAAATGAAAAAGTAACCATCAGTAATTAAAGGGATTATTTGCCTAAAATTAAGTGTTTTTTTTACTCACCGTCGTGTTCAACACTTGTGTGATTTTCTTTCCTTTGCTTTAAAACCCTTATCTCAGATTTATTTCAGCCAGTCGGTTTGTATGAATTACAGACCACAAATGTTCTTTTTGTTCACTGAAAACTTGTCTTGATGGATTCATGAGCGATGTAGCAATATCCAATTTATGAACGAATCATAATTTTTAGTTAGATTCTAGTTTACAAAATTGTTTTGTCAGTCAGCCAGTTGATCCAGTTCACAAAACTGTTTGAATCATTCATAAATCAAACTGATTCAGTTCACATGTTAATCGCACAAACTCGCGGATTAATTTTCAGCAGTTAAAGTGTAGGGTAACATGGGGTAAAAATGCCCCCTGGGTAATCCCCCCACCTTAAAGTCCCCGTGAACCGGAAGTTGCAAACGACTTTTCTCCAGTGTTGTGACGTATTTCCGAGAGAAACGGAATACTAAATGAGTCAAAATAGTGGGCGTGGCTTTTTTTCCAACTAGCACCTGATTGGATCTAGAAAAGTAGGTGTTTTCATTCAGCCTGTCTACTGTCAGTTGGAGGGGCGTGGTTACGGATGTTAAGAAGACGCCCAAACCGTGAAACCTACGTCATCAGGGAAGGTCCTCCAACGCAGAGGGGAGGGGAAATTTCAGATTTTGATTAAAGATTACGAAGCCAAATTTTTTTTTTTGTGTGGATTGACTTGCATGGATGAATTGTTCACCACAAAACGATCAATTTAGGCAAACAAAGTAAGTATGGTCAATTTTGAATTCATGGGGACTTTAATTTTTTCTCCTGACCATAGATGGCACAAAATCTCATCTCAGCACTTTTAATGAATGGCTATGCTATTTTGACGCTTTCTATGACACCGTATTATTTAATCAACTGCTAAATTCAAACGTGCTTTCGCACGTTGGCTGGCGCTGAGCCAGAGACAGTGTTGTCATATGTTTTCAACCACATAATGTTTATTTTAGGTTTCAGACATTAAAATACCCATAAGTACTAGCAAAAAAATGATTTTGAGTTTGAAAAATACACACTGATGTCTATGGAAGCGGCAATAATAATCCTTTCCATTATAATAATATCTGATTCATATCAGATAACATTACACATTGTGTAAGTAGCTTTACATTTTACCCTATTCTTCTCCCAGTTAACCGGCCACTTACCCTCATGTATTTCGTGAGAAGTTGAGGAATTGGCGTGTTGTAAACTAACATGGCGCCGCCCATCGCACATACAGCTCAACTAACGCGATCGTTATAAAGGTGTTTAAACAACAAAACACATCCACTTGCACATATTTGACAATAGGAATATCAGTGTTTCATGTTATAGCTAATACATTTGTGAATATTTTTAATAAAAAAGGAAAAATGACATAAAAGCAGATCATCGCTCATTCAGCGCTGTGTTGTGGTTGCGCTGTGTCACGTGACAAGCAATGACGCGTCACCATGGAAACATTAAAGGGATAGTTCACTTTGAAATTAATTTTTGATATGTTTTATGCCGAGTTCAGACTGCACGATTTTAGCCCCGATTTTGGCTCGCCGACAGGTTTTGAGAAATCGCCGACAAATGCCCGAAATCACAGGCAAATCGGTGCTCGTTCACGCGAGTGACAATCACGCAGTGTGAATGAGCAAAGACGCGATCTGAGAGAATCGCCGACGAGTCGCCGACGCCCGTGAGATATTTGGCATGCTAAATATCTGGACCTGTCGGCGATTCACAATCCTGCTGTGTGAATGTGTTCTGACTGAAAACTACATCGGCGATGACCGACAGCCAACGAGAGAGCAAGATACAGGGAGGAGGAGGAGGAGTTATAGACCAGAATATCAGTATTTTAATAGATAGGCCTATATTTACAATTATATCAAACAGAAACAAAGCACAAACATTTGCGTGACCAGCAGCAACAGCAGGATGTCATTTGCAAAATTATTTATTTACCCCCAACTCTCTTTGCAAAACACAGTCCTTGCTCCCCTCGTCTTCCCAACCATTTCCTGCATAAACTGTTTTTTTTTTTTTCATTTTCGCTAATCAGTGCACAGACAATTTGGATCGCAATCTTCTTGTAGGCTATCATTTTTAATAACAAATTCAGTGTTGCGCGAGAACTCCGGTCTCACGCACGCGTGATCTTCCGTTATTTCCTTATCACTTCTCGCGTTTGTTTGGTTGTGAAACGTAGTTTGCGGACCAGGCAGAAGTTGTCGGCGATTCTTTCTTTTGTAAAGTCATGCAGTGTGAAACCTCCTGTCGCCGATCCACCGTGCAGTGTGAACACAGCAGCAACTGAATGTTACCCCAGATAGTCATGCAGTGTGAAAACAACTGTGACCCGATTATTTTGAAAATCGTGCAGTCTGAACTCGGCATTAGCTTACCTCAACGAACAGTTTTCTACTGTTCGTTAGAAAATGAACAGTATTTATATAATTTTTACATCTTGTAACCACAGGCACGTCCAAGTGATCTGAGGGCGCGGGCGCTTCGGTCTGTGCGTTACAAGAGGTAAAAACGATATAAATACTGTTCGTTTTCTCTCACACAAACCGCTCGTTTCGTGTCTTAGGCCATCAATGTGTACTTACATTTACAAGTCATTAAATCATGTTTAATTTGGACTTCTCTGTGCATGCTCTTTGAGGTGGTGACCATAGACCTGCATTATATGACTGACAGACAAGAACGGTTTGACCTAAAAATATCAAAATTGAAACTACTGCGGAAACAAAGACACCTACATCTTGGATGCCCTTGAGGTAAGCTAAAACATACCAAAAATTTATTTCAAAGTGAACTATCCCTTTAAAGTGACAGCAGGTTCTAAATAACGGTCGCCTAGAAAAACGCACGGTGGGGGGGATCAGTTAGAATATTTTAAACTTATGTGTGAAAGGGTTAAAAACCTATAGGTTAATTGAGTTAAATCATTTAATTTGATTTCACTGTGTTTCTATTATGCAGGGGTGAAACAATATTCAAACTGAACCGAAAAACCGCAATACACCACCCACCCGATACTCTCATGGCATACTGAAGGCGCCAAGCCCAGCCCTAGCCCTAGCCCTAGCCCTAGCCCATTGTCGAGAAAACAAATTTTTCCTCCTTGACATTTGATTAAATAATAATTAGGGGTGTAATGGCACATGTATAAGTCAAGTGACTTTCATTTATATAGCGCTTTTAACAATATGGACTGTTTCAAAGCAGCTTTACAGTTTTGGCTTTACAGCAGCTCTAGAATAAAGTTATTGTCCAGCTAAAGTTAGTTCTGATCGATTCACTTCCGTTGCAAAGATCATTAGTTATTAACTTAGGGGGCGCTAACACGACACCGTTCAAACAGAAAACCCTTAACGCACTCCGCCCTGCTCATTCGCACAACAACAGTGCCTGGTGGCTTGAGAACACAAACCTTGAAATAGGTTCCAATGTGCCAGCCTTGAAAAAAAAAATAAAAAAAAATGATATAGGCTATATATATATATATATATATATCTTCGCAAGCTTTAAAAACGCAAACCTGTGAAAATGCTGACGGCGTGCACATGCGTATTACGTCGTGTTTAGACTATAGGTATGCGCGTTTGAATATATATGTGCGCAGGGCGTGTAGCCTAGTCTTTCTTTACAAATTGACCTAAACAAATTACTTGTCTGGCCTTAAAATGTTATAATACAGAATTATTTATCGCTTCCG